TTTAAATTACTGGCTAAACTAGAACTGAGATCCCTACGAGTACAGACAGGCCATTTACCAACCTCGTGTCTTTCCTGGAACTCTGACATGTCCAGTCTAATGAAACCCTGCAAAAGAAATAAATACATGAAGTTATTTTTGATTAAGGCACGGCAAATTTTATTACATTTAAGTAGCATCTTTGGGACCAGACTGGTGGCTGACGGGACTGATGTGTCAGTAGGTTTGTTTCTTTTTTCCCCAAGGCAGTGGGACAATGGGAAGCTCATTGTAAAGACTGAGGTGGATGATGAAAGCAGGTGGAAGTGAATGTGCAGTTCCTCGAGGGTGTATTGGAGCACTTCCTAACACCGGCCATCGTAGCTCTGAGTGAGTCCGGTTTAGACGACCTGCTCATTACTAGAGCCGTGGCGATGAAAATAGGACCGAAATAGCAACTTGCAATTTGCTAAATAAAACAGACATTATCGCTGTTCAGCTGTTTAGAAATAAATCAATAGGAGAACATAATGCCTCCTCTATAAAAAAATATAATAAAGTCAAGATAAATTAGGTTCTTGGGCATTCAGAGCGTCGAGATAATATTGTTACTGAATTTATAGGTTACTACGCAAACCTCTTCTTACATTTGAAAGGCTGATGATTCATTGCAGAAAATGAACTTCCTGTGCTCGCAGCTATAACTTAGCTCATATTGCTGCACAAAAGGCGAGCCCGAACTTCCTCAGCACTGATAAGGGATGGCCATCCAACTCTCCAAAGGCACGCGGCTTACAGGTTTCCTCTAGTCATGGCTCGTACCTCTGTGACCCACAAACGAGGTAGCACGAATGACTCATCATATACACGCATCAGCTGGAGAGCCACGGAGGATGATCCACGTTGCTACAGACCCTTACAAGGCAGCTGAGACCAAGGCCTTATGCTTAAGATATCACGACTGTGACTGTCTGAAACTCAGTAGCATTTACCAGCTGTAAAACCCCAGGCTTTTCACCATGCCAGGAAGAACCTGTTAAGCCGTTAGCTTAGTGATATCAGCTTATAAAATAAAGGAAGCATTCAATTGTTTGGAGGGACATCATTACATGATGGGATGGATGGGTGCAGAGACACTGGAAATTAAACTGCACGTCACTGATGCAAACAAGGAGACTAATGACAAAACACATGAAAATCCCCTTCAAAACGCGGGGGTCGGACTCGATGATTTGTTGAGGTCCCTTCCGACCCTAGCATCTATGAATCTATGAAAATAGTGTTGCATGTAGATGGAGTCTGCACACCTACCTGATACTTACTGACATGCACCTGCCATATCTATGTATTTCACGGACACAATAACATATATATAAATGAGGATGAAGGCAGGAACTGTTAGCCGACACAATAAGCTACTACTGGCTGGTTTACAAGGGTATGTAGAGGAGTAGAAACTCCATAAAACCTAATACCATGTTGCAGACATGTAGGATGGGATTCGCAATGATTAAGTGCCTAAACCCCATTGAATTTCAACTCCCAGCTGTAGTTTTCCACCTTCGAGGACCTGGGTCTCACAGAAGCTGCACCTCGCTCCTAAGACCTTCAGTGCAGAGGCAGCTCAGTACATGCCAGGGAGGTCTTCCCTGGGTGCGTGTCTGGACGTTGACTTCAGGACTTTGTGAGAGGCAAGGGTTTTTTAGGAGGGTGATACCTTTTATTGGACCAACTGCATGGTTGGAATACAGCTAGACAAGCTTTTGAATGCCAGTCAGCCTTCATCATACCTTAATTCAGGACCTGATAAAGAGCGTCTTGCACTCAAAAGCTTGTCTAACTTTATTCCAACCATGCAGTTGGTCCAATAAGAGGCATCTCCCCCCAAAAAAACTTTGCCTCTCGCATGATCCCTGAACCATCACAAGCTATAACAACATGACTCTAACACTACTCAGAACTCAGAGAGCCCGAAAAAGATTCCCTTAAATTCAAAACAAGCAGCTGGGATTTCCCAAAAAACAGAGCCGCTTAAAAAAAAAATAAAGGTGATTTGGGACCACTGGATGTTTTTCTTGTTTTACAATGTTTTTCTTTCTATGGGGTTGGGAGGTTTTGCTTCAGAAACGTCTCCTTCATTCATTTGGGTTTTGTAACAAAGCAGCAAGATACAAAAGCTCATGCCTCTGAATCAGTCTCCAAGGTACCGCTCTGCTCTACCGCCTGCCTGACTTCAGATTAACGTATCTACCTGCCTCTAGCGTAGCAGCACAACAAAATGTTTCTGTTTTTCCCCTGGGAAAAGCGCTGCTGAAAGCATCGTGGTTTCACAAAAAAGGCCACAAGAAACTGCCTGTGCTGCTGGACAATTGTTTCATCCAAAAATGCCTTGACCAGCTCTGGTAAGCGCCTGTCGGGCTAGTCGCATGATGGGCACTGATACTCAAACCGATGGAGATGGGGCCAGTAATTTCAAAGCAGTCCCTGATGTGGGGTATTCAATGGGGTCCATGTAAGGCCTGCCTGTCACCAAGACCAAGCACCCATGACACTAATGAAGCAGATGGAAGTGCTGGATTTGCACACGTGTCAAGTTGGGCAGTCAAAACGGAGGCGTGCAAGATGGACTCGACTCCTGAGAACGTGGCCTGGTCCTGATCTCAATTGCCCCGGCGTCTTTCAAGCACCGTGGGTGGAATTATGCTCAGGAGAGGAAGGCTGGGGTCTGGCCCTACAGCAGCCAGGCTGCTTGCGGTCTCACCCTTTCTACGTCCGCACATCAGCAGAGTTCGCTGCACGCACACCGGGCAGGCTAGCATGAGCCAGATAAAGATAATAGCATCCGTAATTACATTTTAACCTTTCCGTCAGTATGAAAATGAGCCCATTACACATTCTTCTTTCTTAATCAGACAGTTCCTGCTAAGAGCTGCCTCCCCCATAACTGTCCACAAAGTTTATGACCCTTTTCACAGTGCTAATTACTGCAATGACTGCCAAGCTGATGCATTGCCAATAAACCCCTGATTTGTGCATGCTATTGAATTAACACAACATTCAGCGTTCGGCTGATCTTCCTATTTGATGTCTGGCCAGGTCACTGACCAATTCCACGTGCAGCAGCCCTGGATGAAGGTGCTTTAGATCCAGGAACTGGAATTTATTGCGTTTGGAAGGCAATTACAGAAGGATGAGGAAAAGAAACCAGAGCAGCTGTTTTTATGGCCTCATTTTACTTTTGATCTTCTTTGTGACATATTTTTTTCATGTCTGTTTTGTACCAGTGGGCTCCTGGAAGAGGTGGGTCTGATCTGACACTGGCTTGCAAGACACTCTGTTGCTGCCTCCCCGCATTTGCTCCTGGGATATACATAGGCTCTGTTTCTAATCTCACAAAGGTTTTATACCTGGGGATCTCCAGTGACCTCCAAGGGAGCAGTGGGGCCCTTCGGAAATCAGGCAGGTGCTTGAACATAGAGGCAGAAGCCTAACATTAGACTTATTTTCAAAAACTGGGGCCCAATTTTTAAGGAAGATGGTTCCAACCAGCTAAGAAGTGTTTCTAGAAGCTTTTCTGAAAATAAGTCATAAAAAATAGCTGTTTTTAAATAGACAAGGCACCTTCATCTGTGTCTGAGTCCCACACATTTCAAGGCTAAGATCCTGAAAGTACAACTGGCTTTACTTCTTTTAATTGTCCAGGCTGAATGAAGTCTGAAATAGCAGGCAAGTAGCACAAATAACAAGGAGTGAAGGGTTCCCCTCCATGCCATTCTTTGTCTTCTAATGAAATTAAAATGTGACACAGACAAAGAAACATATTTGCTTGCAACAAAGGACTTCCAACTGACGGTATCCACAGAAGCAGGGAAAACAATGGTTTTGTTCCATTTCATAATTTCTAATAAAGTGTTGTTAGTAATATAGGCAGGGATGCACTTTAAAAAAACCCAACGCCCTTTAGTTTCAACCAAACAGTGTCCCTGGCCTGCTGTGCACTGATGGATCTGAGTCAGTCCTCTCTCCTGCTGCTGATCAGTGTACCACTGTGATGCAGAAGGGATAAAAAGTGAAAGTAGGATTTTCTAGCACTGAAGGACCACGCAATGAAGCCTAGCATGACACATCAGTGATGAAGACCGCACTGAGACGGAATACCGATCTAATTAAAACAAAGAACAAACAGATCAGACGTTACCTTCTTGAGGTCCTTGTGGATGTACTTTGCCGTCTGTTTGGCCAGCTCTGTTTTACCTAGTCAGAAAGCAGTAAAACAAAAAAAGAGATGAGTGTTGAAACCATTATTGGTTACAAGAATCTCCTGTAGAAACTAACCGGTGTATGGGGCCTCTGCCCACTGGAAACCATCCGTGATGGAAACAACTGTTAGTATCCACTGCAATTAGCAGAGCCTAGGAGCCCCAGTCACAGACCCAGACCCTGTTCTGCTATATATCATACGGATGCAGACCATGGAGACAGTCCCTGTCCAAAGAGCTTACGATTAAGATTAAGACAAGGCACAACAGGAATCTACAGGCAGATAGATGGGCGAGCACAAGAGGGCTTCGTAACACAATGGGCAGCGGCCTCTGCACGCCAGATGTCTAACCATTGTAAAGTCTTTTTCAGGCCTGACAGCAAAGGATACCAAAGGAAGGAGCTGAAGGGGGACAAAGAAGGGACTCTGTGGGCACTCCCAGGGATTCCCCCTCCCTTGTGTGAGAAGCAGCAGGGGAGAAAGTGTGAAGGTGCCTGCTGACGATCTAGCAAACATGCTGGAGGGCCTAAGCAGAACATCACGTGCTGGATCCTTAATAGCTCGATTCCTGAATGGAGAGAGAGATTTGAATGCTTTCCGCAAAAAGCGGCGTGGCTGGAGCAGATCTTTGCTGTGTTTATGCCAAGCACCCCGGGTCTCACGTGTGATGTCATTACTCTCTAGATCAAAAGTGAATTATCTGGGAAATGCTCTATTCTTTATTTATTTGATTTATACGGGGCAACTATCATAAAACTGTAGGCATATGAAGAATCAATAATTCAAAACATATATTACAGAATAAATCCACCTTGACACACTATCAACAAACGCACCAGCTCACGGAAACGGAGACCCTGTCTGTTCAGCCTACCTCTCCAGAAAAGGCCTGGGTGAATGTGTCCTGAACGTCAGACCACTCCAGGCTCTGCCAGACCCAGAGAGATGCGAATGACAGAGCCCAGGGCCCTTACTGAATGCCCTCTGGCTGTAACCCCAGGGGTATCAATATAGGGCCTAGCAATCTGAGTGCACCTGCTGCCCTCCGCTCCTGGGACACGGGAAAGGGAGAGAGTGCCTCTTAAAACTCAAAGGATCTGCAATGTAAGAGCCTTTACAGGGTTATAGTAACAGGTCAGATTGTGTTTGCAAATGAACGCAGGCCAGGAGCTGCACTTACACTGAGCCTTTTATATTTCAGTACACACCTCGCATGTGTAGGCTTTAACACATGGGGCAAACACACAAATGCACATGCTCTTCACTTCCCCACAACCAGGTGTTGTACTTAAAAGGCCAACTGGTGCCCTGGCATTCTGCAAGTCTACTTCCACCGTAGTCCACATGGGAGCGAGTCAGGGCAGAGCCTGGCTCTGAAGTCTTGACCCATCGTATAGTATTGCGGTGAGCTGCTGGAGGTAGCCGTTCTTCAGCTCTGAGTGGAACGATCAATAGTCTGGGACCCATTAGGCTCATTTAACCTGGCTGCTGCATGACACAGGCCAGAACATTTCACGGAGGGACTCCAGCATCAAGCCCATTGCTTCTGCCTGTAGGGCCGTCTCCATGCCCTGTATTTGGATGATATCTGGCAGAATGGGGTAACTGTCACCGATAACGAGCGAGCGATGCAAAGCCTAGAGTTGAAGGCCGAATGTGCCCCGTCACCGGGTCGCCCGTTCCACTGGTTATCTAATCTAACTCCCTGCCAAAGGCTGGCACCTTTTGTCAAGCTGACTAGTGTCTAGCTAGCTGCTAGGTCTTGTTATCTGTGTCTGCCCTGCATTTGCATCTATGTATATATGGATATAAAATAGCCTTGACAGTGGCTAAGCTCTTTCGGGATCTGCTGCACTGTGTAAAGGCACATTAGATACTGCAATCTGCCTCTGAGCATGTAGACGGCTATAGCATCAAGAACCCTGTAAGACACCCCAGACAGAGCTTCAGCTCTCAATCGCCTTGCTTCCTTATCTGAATATTCATTTTTATGTCACCAGCTAGAAAAACATGTCATGGGAACGTATAAGAGTTGACGGAGCCGACAATTTCAACGATTGAGCCTTCAGACTTGTTATAATGTGTGCCGTGAAGTCTTACAAACACTGCTTATTGCTTTTATATGGCTTCATAGCAACACGTTTAAAGTAAATACCTTGCCTAGCGCGGCTCTGAGGCAGGACTCTGTATGGACAATAATTGTTGCTTGAGCTCAGTGCCTTACAAAAACAGCATCTTCCAGCCAAGCAAGTGAATGCAGGAGAGGCAAAGCACTCGCCTTTCCCAAATGCCGCATTTTGGTTGCTGTAACCTTTTTTGTTTCAGCAGAGTAGGAATCACTTCATCGTTTTCATAAACCATGCTACGTTTTTGTGGAAGCATTTGGGGGAAATGTTCGTGCCCGTAGACAAGCGAGGTCCTTGCCCCAGGGAGTTGACAATCTAAGTATCCCTCGAGTTAGTAGGTTACTGTGCACACCCACGTTATTTCGGTATTTTTTCTTTTTAAAGTTCTTAAAACAGCCTTGTTTCTTATTAAAATGGAGTCCACGAAGGGCAGACTTTCATCAGGTATAAACCAGAGTCACATCAGTCGGACCAGGTGAGGGTCTGGCTCCATGTGCTGAAGGTAAGCTTGAAACTAGTCTAAAATGCAGCAGGGCAGAGGCAATGACCAACTGGAGGCCCCTTTGATACCCAAATGGATCAATGGAAATTTTCATGATGACTTTGTCCTCTCTGAAAGCAGGGCTAGGTGTAGGGGTGTACAGGTCCTCAAAAAGAGGGGGAACTGGGGGCTCATCATCCCAACCTCCTACACACTGTACTGTGGACCCGTATGTGTGTATCCGATGCCCGCATCTCAGACCCCCACCCATAGCAAATGACAATCCGCCTGTTACCTATTCCCGACGATCCCAAGAAAAGGAAAACCAGGGGGTGCTCTTCGTCGTACCAGCCATTTTCTTTTCTCCGAATAGCTGCGTTTAAATACAGTGAAAACAAAAGGGGGGGGAAAGGGAAGAAAAAAAAAAGAGGCATATAAATCAAAGACACAAAAGCAAGTATAATTATCACTAAGTATACACTATGTTTTACTGCTCTCTGCCCACTCAAAGTCCTCACTACCATTAGTGCTACCTAATTTGATTAGCTGGCAAGGCCCCCAGAGACACCTAATCAAGTTAGCATGGATTTGGAAAGCTGCCCAGAGCAGATTTCGGATAAAGTTTTCCAGGATGTGCACTCAATGTTGCCAGGGAAACAGAAAGGAGGGTGCACACTGAATGAACGAGAAAGGGCTGCGGGGAGAGGATTCAAGAGGCGCGTTAGGCTTCCCAGCTCGTCAGCGCAACCTTTCTGCAAAAGGCTGGTTTGGAGAAGTTTGTCGCTTCGCTGTCTTATGCAAATGCAAAGGAGGAGGTTTGAATTCAAGGTCATGGTAGCCTTGAACGAATGTGAGTCTTATTTAAAAACACTGGGAATGGAAAATGAATCAGCGATTTCAACCAACAGATGGAAAGTGAAATGGCTGTGCGATGGATGAAGGATATTAATGGAACACATCACCCCGAAGGAGGGGACGGGTCGGAAGCCAACGTCCAGACTTTGGTGACAAAATACCAGCGGTAGACATATTCGACTAGCTAGGATGTTGGACCGTCCTGAGAAAGTTGTTCTGTGTTCACAGAGCTGCCTCAGTTCAGAAGGGGACGAGGCAAGGTGGGGGTCCCGCAGCCCTTTTGTAGGCTCTCATCTGCTGCAGCTTTGCGCCCTCCAAATTTCAGATTCTCCGTCAAAACTACACAGATGTTGCACCGAATCAAAAAACCCATCCCTGGCTCCCATGTCAAGGCATGGGACAGACCCTAGCTACATTTCCTTGTGGTCTCTAACCAACAAGGAAGCCTAAACACATCTCACAGCTCTAGTTTCGTTAGGGAGCTTCTCTTAACTAGAAGCCGGCTGCCGTCAAGTTCTAGCCTGATTTCACCTCTGGAAGCTGCAGGCGAGGCGTTTCAATGCTTATTGAGCTCCACAGAGTGCTCAGAGGATGAAAAGATAAGGACCGTCTCATGTAGAGGTACATCCGACAGATGACGTCTCCTAACAGGCCCGATGCATCGGCAGGTCACTGGGAGCGAGCTGGAGCACTGCAGGCAGGGGGCCCGGAGATTTCAGCCATGATTCTGCATGTAGTTGCATGGTGTTATTGGGAAAAATATGTCTGGAGCAAAAACCCCGCAGTGAAGAGCAAATGTATCAGTTCAGTGTATTCTCATATTCATAGTTTAAAGTAAGACGGTACCAAAGGGATACTGAATTTTCAGGCTTTCACGCTTCAGACAGAAAAAAGGCAGAACTGTGTCTTAGTTTACTGAGGTTCTCCTGATTTATCTGCATTATTTAAACCAGGCCTCCTCCACTACGGCTCTTAAAAAGAGTTATTCTCGGCACGCTGATTGGTCTGTGCTGCGCAGCGTTTTGCGATGTTTTGTAAGAAGGAAGCCACACACTGATAAATTGTATTGCGTCGTAAATGATATGCCGGTGCTCCTAATAATTTACCTGTAAGGGTGCTTTTTAAAATGCTTTGCAGATCTGTGCTCGGCAGTTGCCAGAGGTCAATGAAACTGAAGATCCGGCACATTGTGTTTGATTGAAGTATGGCATTGAGTGGGCAAAGTGCCAGGCTCTCAGGAATGATAACCTAGACGCTTCCAAGATAACAGAGGTAAAGATGAAAGACAAGGACCAAGAGATGTGGAGCTCTCCGGTGCTTTTTGAGTGAAGTTCTCCTCTGGAAGTTACTGTCAAAGCGAGACTTTGTGTTCCTTGTCTCTCGATGATTTTCGTATAAAACGCACTCAAGCGTCTCTCGGCGCTCTCAACAGCACACGTCACTGCAAATGCTGCCTTCTATACACTCCTTTTGCAGCTTTTTTACCTCCAAAAGTAACTTATTACAACATCATTATTCTCCAAAGAGTTAAAAACAAAAAAATTACCGTAGTTACCATACACGGATGGTTCCAAAATACAGGCAATTGGTAAATGGGGATGCTAAATCTATCAATGAATAATCTCTGACTTGTGGGGCAAAGAATAAAAACAAAAATTTAGACCATGTCAGGAACAAAAGGCCCTGTGGTATCACTACAGGTAAGAAGGGGTTGGTATAGGATGATAAAAGCTGACAAAGCTGATACAAGGACGGCAAGTTGTTCAATACATATATCTGCTCTGAGTTTGGAAAGAAGATAGGTGACTTGCTCACTACTTACAGTGGCCATGAAAACCTTTGGACTCCAACAGTGCAAAGCAAGTGATAAAGTAAGGCTAAAACCTGGATTATCTGGGAACAATTCAAATAACTATACAACATTAATTCAGCACATATTGAAAGGATTAAAATCCACGTAAGGAATGAATAGTCAACAAGTTACTGTAAAGAGGGACATCATCATTGAAATGCTGGGAGAAAAGAGTGAAGCAATGGATCTGTCCTAGGCACCAGGCTATTCAATGTCTTTATCAATGACCTGGAAGAAGACAAAAAAAAAAAATTCTCAGCAAAGTTTGCAGAGGACACAAACCCTGGTGGCGCGGTAGACACAGATTTGTTCTGGGCTCACTTGAACAACGTGTGCTTTAATACAAGGTCGTATGGCTGAGGACCAAGAACGGAGGTTGGATTGCAGGATGTGGGAGTATATTTTGGAAATCAATGACTTGGAAAAGACATGGGAGGGCACAGTGGATAACCGAGTCGACATGAGCTCACAGCAGGACGTAGTGGCTAAGAACAACTACCACCCTTGGCTACAGGAGCAGGCAACTATGAAGTAGAAGTGAAGAGGAGGGATGGTTTCTGCGCGTGGTGCTAGTGAAAGCACAGTTCTGGTGTCCCTCTGTTAAGTAGGATGTTTGGATCATTAAAAGATGCAAGAAGGATTCAAGGTGGGAAAAACTGCTGGGCAGGGTGAGGCTCAAGAAACGCTGTGAATTTAGGTTAGAAAAAAAAAAAAAAGGAGGTTAAGAAGAGGCGACTGGATCAGTGTGGAAGGGCCTGTGAGAAAAGGTGGATGAAAGCAGACAAAGGGCTAAGTGTGCCAAGGGCTGATACTGGACTAATTCACACCAGAAATAAGGCACGCAGCGAGGATAACCAACCACTGGAACAAATTACAGTTAAGTATGTAACTGGTTCTGCAATCACTTGTGGAGTCTCCAAGTCAAGACTGGGTGTCTTTCTAAAAGATCTGCTGTAGTTCAACCAGAACTTAATGGCCTCGGCACAGGAAATGTTTTGGGCTGTGCTGTGCAGGAGGTCAGACTAGATGATCGTAACCCTACTGACATCTGGACTCGGTATAGGGGAGCAAGAGAGAGTGGTAGTGGGTACGGATAGGAATCACGGGCATATGGAAGAGGGCAGAATTTGGCCTGTCATGAGCATCCGGGAGTTGGCCTGTTGATATCAAGTCCTGTAACATCATGGAGAAGAAGTCTGGAGACACCGAGTTCAAGATCACAGGATTATCTACAGCAGATCTCAGTGGATACACATTACTGCTCCCCAGCTCCTCACAGCCCAGAACACCTCAGCCAAATAACCATCACGGGAGGAGGAACACGATGGCAATGGGTTTGCTCTAGCTATGCTCGCACCAGTGTCCAGCAAAAGCCGCAGCAGAGTTGAGGGTCTCTGCAAGGTGAGAAAGACCCGCTGATGCAGAATATGCATTTGTAATTGCAACTACAGGTGTTTGCGTCCGAAAGCTTGTCAAGAACAATTTTTCCAACTATTTACTTAGCTTAATAAAAGATATCACATTAACCCAAAGAACCTGGTTTGCCTAATTGCAACTACGCACTCCATAGACAACGACAGGTTCCCCTGAGACCGTGCAGAAATGCCCAAATTTCCCAGAGGACTCAATGCATGAGGTCTTTTTTTTGGCTTTTATCACAGCATACAAAAGGTCAAATATTGTGGGTGGATTTAAAAAAAAATAAAAAATCAATGGAGAGGATCATGATCACTGACAGCATTTGTGGCTACTCTGGTCGAGATAATAAGAGTAATAAACTCTTGCTTCGAGGCATGAAGTGATCACCTGCAGGGATCAGTGTGTGCCACCCTGCTGTATCAGCTGGTAGGTTCATTGCAGACTTGTTTCTCTTTCCTTTGGAGCAGGATACCAGACTTTACGGCCAAGTGCTGGCTCCCGCGTGTCAAATCCTATGGAACTGGCTTAGCTGTGCTGTTTGCAGAAGAGGGATTGCAAACAATAAACTCAGGGTTTATGATTTGGGATTGAAATTCTTGTTAGGAAATGAAAAGAGCTCTTGGCCTCCGCTGCAGAGAACTCTAGATTGGGGAACTCGTGGGCCGGATCAGACCTGGGAAGAGATCTGGCCTGGGCTGTGGCAATGATTAGAAGCACATGGCAGTGATCAGGGATGGGAAGGGGGGGGGGGGGAAATCAGCAGCATGTGTGGGGGGAAATCGGGGGCATGCAACGGCAGAGGATGGTTAAGGGAAGCTGGCCCACAGGCAGTAAAACATTGCCAACCCCTGTTATAGGTTATATAGCTCAGCAAGAAGCGACCTGGTGTCAGAGCCTTTGCACAGTGGACACTCAGTAAGTGACCTAGCTGTGCAACTCCAGTCCCAACAATTCAAGCCAGCCAGAACTGAGCCACCTTGGGGCAGGGGATCCCTGTGCAGCACATCGACATGAGGCCTTGATAAACCAAGACTTCAGCCGCCGGCGGAAAGCAGAAGGCTGGCTGACAGCACTGGAGGCGTCTGTGCCGCGAGATGCATTTGTCTGCTACGTTATTCATTTTTCATTGACGTGTGTGCAGGAGATCCATATTTTGGGCAGCGCAGCCCCTTGGTACGCAGCGCTTTCTCTTCTGCTATGCCAAGGGAGCACGTGACATAAAAAAATCCAGGTACTTTGGCTTTTCT